TAGGTTTACGTAGCTTACTGCAAAAATAAATCCCTTGTCATGGAAGGCTAACATGTTTGTATCCACACTGTTCGATAAAACCAGATATGCTGTTTTCTATAGGGGGAATTTAATTTGTCTCTTAACTCACAGGTCTCTAATTTTTTTCTGATGGTCTAGTTTTCTTTTTTTAAACAGACATTTCCCAACCCGAGACAATTATTTCGGTGCTGCTCAAAAATGTACCTTTGAATGACAGGATAAAAAAATATATTTTCTACCCTTAAAAGTGAATGGCTAGGACCCTGATGGTTCTCACTCCCTGTAGGCCCCTGTTTTTCATCAAAGTTAAATAGCCAATTAGGTTCGGACAAGAGGACACAGTCTAAGTTCAGGGTCTAATGTGTGTTCTTATTTATCAACTTTTTGGCAAATGAGGTCAAGATGCTGCCTGGGGATTTAATTTTTAATTTTAGGGAGTGTGATAAAATGTTGAGATAAAATATGTCCATTTATCTCCAGGAAGGTCTAAAGAAATTATTTTTTATATTAATTATACAACATATTTTAATAAATTTAACAGATATTCAAAAGGCAATACCAACCCCTTTGTATTACCTGTCTTCTTCCTTCTCGTCACCTCCTTCTTCCAAGAAGCCATAGTGTAAAAAACACTGGTTCTATTAGGGAAATTTACTGGAGTTTCATGGGACAGTTTTTTTTTCATCAGAATCATAAGACCATCTGAGAAGTAGAACTGCTTTATAATGAGAAAATTTTTCTATTTCAGTAATGAAGTATGTTTAGGGTCCAAAGATGGACCTGCATCTGTGAAACCTATCCCACAGCAAATAGTTGTATTAGTGAATTTGTTCTTTTTTAAATCTCTGCTTTTTTTTTCTTTTAGGTAGAAATACCAGTTTTTCCTAATGTTAATTCTAGAAGCAAAAGCAAAACAAACAAAAAAGCAAGCTTATGGCAAACCCATCCTTTTATTCTTCCCTTCCCTTTCATGTAATGGAATCATAACTTGTGAAGGGTGCTTAAGTAAGTGGACTGAGGTTTGGAAACCACAAGATGCTCTTTATTACGAGGCCTTGTGGTTTAGATGGGATTACTACTCCACTTGGCACTTATTACTTGAAATCACATGGATCATTTGTGAAAGCAAAAAACACCAAAGTCGGTAAATCTAAAAGCTTTATGTATTACAATTCTTAGCACTTCTCTGTATCTAATAGAAATCTCCTAAATGAGATATGGGCAGAGATTTGGGTTATTTCTTTATTAATAGAATTGGTGAAACCAGTTTTAGAGGCCTTATGTGAGAAATTACTATTTTTTTTCAAATTGCCTACGCAGTCAGAAATAGTGATGACAAAGATGTCTGGGAACCAGGTGAATAAATTTTTCTCATGGCAGCAACAACTCCAAGGTTTGCCAATACAGTGACTTGGATAATATATACTAGCAGCCAGATTTTATTTAGCTCTGCTTTTTTTTTTTTAAATCTCTGAATATTAAGGCATGATTACAAACATGAAGTAGATTTTTGTTTGCTTCTTCCAGATAAGAATTTTTTAAAGAACTTATCTTGTCCACTGTGACTTACTTGGATATACATACCGACATACCTCGCTTTATTGTGTGTCACTTTAGTGCAATTAACAGATACTGTGACTTTTACAAATTGAAGGTTTGTGGCAACCCTGAATCGAACAAGTCTGCCAGTGTCATTTTTCCAACAGCATTTGCTCACTTCATGCCTCTGTGTCATGTTTTGTAATTCTTGTAATATTTCAAATTTTTTCATTATTATTGTATTTGTTATGATGATCCGTGGTCAATGATCATGACTCGCTGAGAGCTCAGGTGATGGTTAGCACTTTTTGGCAATAAAGTATTTTTAAATTAAGGTATGTACTTTTTTAAAGGCACAATGCTATTGTGCACTTAAAAGACTACACTATAATGTAAACACATACCTTTTATATGCACTGGAAAACCAAAAAATTCATTGACTCGTTTTATTGTGATATTTGCTTTATTACCATGGTCTGGAACCAAACCTGCAATACCTCTGAGATTATGTCCGTATGCATGTATATGTTTATATTTATGTATATATTTACAGACATAGATGTATATTCATATATATGCATATATATGCATATATATACAAACACACGCATATATTCTAGAATTTGTTTAGAACTATACTTTCTAATACACTAGCTACAAGGCACATGTGGCTATTTATTTATTTATTTATTTTTACATGTGGCTATTTAAATTTAAGTTAAAGTCAAATAAAATAAATAGTTCAGTTCCTTAGTTACACTAGCCACATTTCAAGTTCAGGAGCCACATATGTCTAGTGACTATTATATTGAACAGCACAGATCTGGAACATTTCCATCATTACAGAAAGTTCTAATGTGTAGCCCTGAGAAAATCTAATTAACTATCTTTTCCTCTTATGTTACCTTAACATTTACAGAATATAACATGTACTTCAAAGGACATACAGAAGGAGGAACGTAAAGCTAAGATTTTGCAATGGCCCTGTGAACTTAAAACATTATAACTGCTAACCTGGCCAAGCAGGGCAATTTTTTTGTAGAAAACTGGTTACCTAACTGTTCATTTTTTTTTAAAGATTTTATTTATTTGTCAGAGAGAGAGGGGGGGAGAGAGCACAAGCAGGGGGGAGTGGCAGGCAGAGGGAGAAGCAGGCTCCCTGCTGAGCAAGGAGCCTGATGCGGGACTCGATCCCAGGAACCTGGGATCATGACCCGAGCCGAAGGCAGACACTTAACCCACTGAGCCACCCAGGTGTCCCTACCTAACTGTTCATTTTAATTTTGTTTGCTAAAGCAGAAATTTCTATGGACCTTAACTTTATGGGGACCTTAACTCTATGTAGGCCAAGTGTGACAAGTGGGGATCCCCTCTGGTTACCTTTTCATACAGTGCTCAGGACTTAGTACCACTCTTTGGCTGCTCTGGGCTAAGGCACTATTCTTCTCCCTGCCCCCACCCTTGGGTCTCACCCTGCCTGTCCCCCCCCATCCTCTGCCACAGTGTTTTAAGTTCAGGGCCTTCTCAAATATTCCCTTACCCTATGACAATTTACCACCGTGTACCTAAGATATAAAATGAGCATGTCTAGAATGCTAATCATTAATATTAAAATAAGCAATAATGAGGTTTGGAATAGCATTTGATGGTGATGATGATGATGATGATGATAGTAGTAAAAATACCAATTTCCATTTAGTGAGCACCTGTATACCAGGCAGCCTATTCAGATCCTGTACCTTCCTATATCACTATTACTGAAGAAAGAGCTTGAAGAGCTCACAGAAATAGGTCTGTTTTCATCCAAACCATGTCCTTTTAGCTGTTATCTTATATTATTGCTCTCTGTCACTGTTAAAATAGTAATTGTAAAGATAGTGTAGCAACTCGAGAGATGTTTGGAGTATTAAGTGACAAAAACATAAAAAAATGCATTTCTACTATTTCAAACACATTAAAATTATGTTTGTAGAGGATTTCTGGCATTGTGGAAGACTGAGCTCTCATGGCAGGAGCTCCTTCTATTAAAATCACATAGAAACTTTAGATAAATGAGTAAGCATTTAAAATACATACAAAACTGTTGGAAAGAAAGTGAAGACACAAGGTGCCAGAAGAAAGGGGAGGTATGGAGACTGGATCAGGAAGTGGGAGCAGATATCATCCGGGTCTATGGGTATTTTAAACCTGGATTTAGGTCCTAGGCCTGGAGTTTTAACCTCAGTGGGATCTGGAGCCATCGCTGAGAGCCTTTTCGAAGACAGCAGGAGAGAGGGAAGGAGAGGGAGCAGGCGCTGGGCCCGCTGCCTGAAGCCTGGAGCCTCAAGTATCATCCAGCTCTGCCTGGGAAAACAGCAAAGCTTGTCATCAGACTGAGACTTTTGGTAAAGTAAGCCACTTACGAGAAACTAAAATTCTCTGTGTGAGGAGTCTGACTTGACTTTACCTTATTAACCTGGTATAGAACATCAAGTTAGGAAAGTAACATCCAGGGGCACCTGGGTGGCTCAGTCGGTTAAGCATCTGCCTTTGGCTCAGGTCATGATCCTGGGGTCCTGGGATCGGGCCCTGAGTCGGGCTCCTTGCTCAGCTGGGAGTCTGCTTCTCCCTCTGCGGCTCCCCTGCTTCTGTGCTCTCTCTCTCTCTGTCCAAGAAATAAATAAAATCTCTTTTTTTTTTTTTTCTTTTTCTGTACCTAAAAAGTGCAATTTTATTTTCAATCCTTCTTTAGCATGGTTGGGGTCTGGATCTGAATCTTACTTTCCCACCTAACCCCTTCCCCCAGGGGAAACACTGTGACAACAGACTTCTGTACAACAGGCAGGCGGCCTCAGACCAAACTGGGCCTTGACCGTGTGGGGGCTTATTTCACTGTCACAGTGGAAACCCCCTGAATTGACTCCATGACAGCTGCAAATCGGCTACAAAGGTCATAGGGAGAATTGGGCCGAATGGTCAGAGGCTCCTTCAGGACAATGATTTCTGCAGAAGGATCCAGAAGCCTGGGTAGAAACTCTCCTAAGCACAGCTGTAGATTTTCAGCGATATCTTGCCCAAGGTAAGAGCACCAATGGTTTCTCATGATCTCGATGGCATGGAGGTCATCCTTGGAGATGTCATTATTAATGATAAGGTGAATGCAGGGAATGATCAACTCATTCATCACATTAATGCCCTCAGTTACAGAGTGGTCATCATTTGTTTCAAAGAGAGAAGCTGCTTTGGCATTCAGCTCCAGAAGGCATTTTCTTCGGTACAAAGCGATGACCGATTCCTTCACCCCGCGGCGGGGCCCCTTCAT